CTGTCAGGTCTTCACCTCCCCTCGTTCTCTACGAACTTGGTGAGTGGAGCTGACCTCCAGGATGTGTGGGTTGACCAGTTCACTCCTGGAGGTCAGCGTGTGACCCACTGTACGTGCTCCCGGACTGGTCGGCACCTGGCCACGTTCACCCGAGCGCCTGGCTCGAGTCTGTACACACTGACTACTGTGTCACCTCAGGTAGCTGCGTCTGCGTCTGTGTCAGGTCAGCTAGCGGCCCCCTGCTCGTGTCGCGCTTTGTCGCACCAGACCGTCCTTTGGCACCACCGTCTTGGTCACCCCTCGGTGCAGCGCCTCCATGGCATGCACCGACGTCTCCTTGTCTCTGGACTCCCAGAGACTCTGCCTCCTCTCCCACCATCGCCTGCCCCTCCCTGCCTTCCCTGTGTCGAGGGGCGGCAGCGCGCCGCTCCTCACTCCTCCTCGTTTCCCTCGATGACTGCTCCCCTGCAGACCCTCCACATGGACGTGTGGGGCCCAGCCCGCGTCCGTGGACAGGACCGAGAGCGGTACTTTTTGCTGGTAGTTGACGACTACACGCGTTACACCACGGTCTTCCCCTTGCGCACCAAGGGTGAGGTCCCTGATGTTTTGATCCCTTGGATCCGCGCTGCCCGTCTCCAGCTCCGCGAGCGGTTCGAGACGGACTTTCCCGTCCTGCGTCTGCACTCTGACAGAGGTGGTGAGTTTGCCTCTGACTTTCTGCGGAACTTTTGTTGTGGGGAGGGCATTCGCCAGACGTTCACGCTCCCAGCCTCACCGCAACAGAATGGGGTTGCTGAGCGCCGCATTGGCTTAGTCATGGAGGTCGCTCGTACCTCCATGGTCCATGCGGCTGCCCCCCATTTTCTGTGGCCGTTTGCGGTCCGATACGCTGCGCATCAGCTCAACCTCTGGCCCCGTGTCTCCTTCCCGGAGACCTCGCCCACCCTGCGGTGGACGGGGAAGGTTGGGCGATGCGTCGGTGTTCCGGGTCTGGGGTTCTCGTGCCTTTGTCCGCGATACTACTGCGGACAAGCTCTCCGCCCGCGCTATTCCCTGCGTCTTCCTTGGCTTTGTCCCTGACGCGCCTGGCTGGCAATTTTACCACCCCACCTCGCGCCGTGTCCTGCCCTCTCAAGACGTCACGTTCGACGAGTCGGTTCCCTTTTACCGTCTCTTTCCCTACCGCACTGCCCCTCTCCCCCCCCCCGCCGCTCTTCCTTGCACCAGGTCCTCCTCCGGTAGACCCCCTCCCCCCTCAGGGTCCTGCTCCCTCAGGTGTGTCTCAGGTAGACACTGTCGAGCCTGTCGAGGTAGCGGTTGACTCTGGTGCTGCTGGGGGTGCTGAGCCTGAGCGTGTGGAGTCTGGGGGTGCTGCGCCTGGGGTTGCTGAGTCTGAGGGTGCGGAGCCTGGGGGTGCTGAGCCTGTGGGTACTGAGCCTGCGGTTGCTGAGACCGGGGGTGCTGAGTCTGCTGGAGGTACTGCTGGTGCTGGAGCTGGAGGCCCTGGTGCCACTAGCCCTGGAGGTGCTGGAGGTACTGCTGGTACTGGAGGTACTGGAGGTGCTGGAGTTACTAGTCCTGGAGGTCCCACTGGTGCCTCGCCCCAGCGGTCTAGCCGGCGGGAGCCTCTCTCACCACAGCAGTTGCGCGAGTGGTACGCTCGGCGCTGTAGCCTTCGGAGTGGCGCTGCTGGAGCTGGAAGTCCTGGAGCTGCTAGTCGTGGGGGTGGTGCTGCTGGAGGTGCTGAGCCTGAGGGTGCGGAGCCTGGGGGTGCTGAGTCTGCTGGAGTTCCTGCAGGTGTCTTGTCACGGCGGGAGCCCCTCTCTCCACAGCAGCTGCGCGAGTGGTACGCTCGGCGCTGTAGCCGTGCTGCTGGAGCTGTGGGGCCTACCGCTGGAGGTGCTGGAGCTACTGGAGCTACTGGAGCTGGAGGTACTACTAGAGCTGGAGCTGCTGGAGGTTCTGCTGGTGCTGGAGCTGCCGGAGGTGCTCGTACTGGAGGTACTGGAGCTGCTGGAGCTGGAGCTCCTGGAGGTACTGCTTGTCCCGGAGGTGCTCGTACTGGAGGTACTGGAGCGACTGGAGCTGGTGGTGCTGCAGGAGCTGGAGCTGGAGGTGCTGGAGCTGTTGCTACCAGAGGTTCTGCTGGAGCTGGAGCTGCTGGAGGTGCTGGAGCTGGTGGTGCTGCAGGAGTTGGAGCTGGAGGCGCTGGAGCTGTTGCTGCAGGAGGTGCTACTGGTGCTGGAGCTGGTGGTGTTGTGGGAGTTGGAGCTAGAGACCCTGGCGCTGGGGGTACTGGTGCTGTCTCTGCTGTTTCTGGAGGCGCTGCGCGGTCGCGGCCGTACTTCGTTCCCCTCCTTCAGCAGGTTCTTGGTCTCCCGCCTTCTACTGGTCCTACTCCTCCCTTACTGTGTCCACCGCCTGTCCAGTCGCAGTCGCAGTTACAGTCAGCCTCTCCACTGCCTGGTCCTTCTCCTTACTCTGGGCCGACTAGGGGTCTTACTGAGCGTCGTGAGCCTGAGTCTCGTCCTGCGTCACCTGAGTCTCGTCCTGCGTTGCCTGTTCGCACTGGTCGTGTTCCGCGTCCGCGTCCTCTTGCTGTCCCAGGCACGCACCAGATGGCACTCCGTCGTTCCACTGCTCCACAGCGTGTCCCTTTGCCGTCTCCTCCTGCGTCCTCTCTTCCTGACGTCCCTGACCCGCCGTCAGACCTTGCTCGTGCTGCTAGTCCTACTGTCACGCGTCTTCTAGCCACGATTGTCACTGACCCTTCTTTTGAGTCCACTGCTGCGTCTGCCCTAGTTGCTGAGCTTGTTGAATTTGCTGCCGCCTGTCGTCTAGACTACGCCGCTAGTCTTGTTGCTGAGTCTGAGTCTGTCTGTCCTCCGTCCGTCGGGGGTGAGTGTGCTCTTGGCACGGACGTCCTTGAGGACAGGAAGGAGGACTTTGAGTGCTTTGCTGCTGCTTTATCTCATCTCGTGTCCATGCTGCTTGCCCTTGAGGGAGACCCGGATGCACCAGACATCCCGACCCCGCTCTCTTACGCAGAAGCGATAGAGGGTCCCTACTCCTCTCAGTGGCAGACAGCCATGGACGCAGAGATGGCTTCCTGGAAGTCCACAGGCACCTACGTCGACGAGGTTCCCCCACCTGGGGCGAACATCGTCAGTGGCATGTGGATTTTCAGGGTGAAGCGGCCACCGGGTTCTCCGCCTGTCTTCAAGGCGCGTTACGTTGCACGAGGCTTCGGTCAGCGAGAGGGAGTTGACTTCTTCCAGACCTTCTCCCCTACCCCGAAGATGACCACTCTTCGGGTACTGCTGCACGTCGCTGCTCAGCGTGACTACGAGCTTCACTCTCTTGACTTCAGCACAGCCTTCCTACAGGGCAGCCTGCACGAGGAGATCTGGCTGCGCCGCCCACCTGGCTTCACTGGGTCGTTTCCTGCTGGTACCCAGTGGAGCCTCCGGCGGCCAGTCTACGGTCTCCGCCAGGCGCCCCAAGAGTGGCTCGACACACTGAGGACGACTCTTGCGGCTCTTGGGTTTGCTCCTTCTACTGCTGACCCGTCGCTGTTTCTACGCACCGACACCTCTCTGCCGCCGTTCTACGTCCTCGTGTACGTTGACGACTTGGTTTTTGCTACTGCTGACACTGAGGGACTCGCCCACGTGAAGTCGGAGCTGCAGAAGAGACACACGTGCACAGACCTAGGTGAGCTGCGCAGCTATCTTGGCTTGCAGATTACCCGGGACAGAGCACAGCGCACCATTACCTTGACTCAGTCACACATGGTGCAGCAGGTCCTTCAGCGCTTCGGCTTCACGTACTCCTCGCCACAGCCCACTCCTCTGCCTACTCGCCACTCGCTCTCAGCTCTGCCTTCGGATGAGTCCGTAGAGCCGAGTGGCCCGTATCCAGAGCTTGTGGGCTGCCTCATGTACCTGATGACCTGCACTCGACCTGACCTGGCATACCCTCTTAGCATCCTGGCACGCTATGTTGCTCCTGGGAGACACCGGAAGGAGCACATGGATGCCGCTAAGAGGGTGTTGCGCTACTTGTGCAGTACATCGGGCATGGGGCTCGTGCTTGGAGGACGGGCTCGAGTTGTCCTCACTGGCCACGCAGACGCTTCCTGGGCTGACGACCTGGCTACGCAGCGGTCGTCACAGGGTTACACTTTCAGCCTTGGCTCCGGCTCTGTTTCGTGGCGGTCTACCCGCTCGTCTTCTGTTCTCAGCTCCAGCTGTGAGGCTGAGATCTACGCAGGGGCCATGGCTGCACAGGAGTTACGCTGGCTCACCTACCTGCTGACCGACCTGGGAGAGCCGCCTCGTTCTCCTCCAGTTCTGTACGTCGACAACAAGGCCATGATTGCCTTGTGTCAGGAGCAGAGACTGGAGCACAGAACGAAGCACATCGCTCTGCGCTACTTCCTTGCTCGAGAGTTGCAGCAGCGTGGTCAGCTTCGTCTTGCTTACGTGGCCACTCAGGCCAACACTGCTGATATCTTCACCAAGGCACTTCAGCCTTGTGATCATCAGCGTTTCTGTACTGTTCTAGGCCTTGTGCCCACCGGGCCTCACTTGCTCACTTCTTGACTTTCCTTGTACTGTGATCTCTATACATATACCTGCATGCTTACACTTGCTAGGTTGTGATCACTGTATTGCTTGTTCTCCTTTATATAACTCTGCATGTGAACTGGCCTTGTGGCCATTTGCTTGTGCTCAGAATGCGTGGTGACTTCGTGATCCACCCTGAGCTTGCTTTGCTTTTGTTGACTGGTCTTGTGACCTCTTGTTCTCCCCCACTTTGCCTCTGGGGGTGTGTCAAACTTATATGACATAGTCTGTTTAGGCTGTAGTGGGGTAGACCATATGGGGTACAACACATTTAGGGTTTCCTACTTGTACCCACCTGCTTGTTAGTTCATTCATCCCTCGTTCTTATCTTTCACACAAACCAAACCGAACCCACACAACCAGCCCGCAATGGAGCACTCTAGCGCAGGAGACAACTCTGAACCGGCCAACACCACACCCAACACCTCTCCTCCAGGTCCCCCTACTGAAGTTCCGCATGCTGCAGATCCGCCAGAAACACAAGAGTCTCAGATCCCTGCTCAGGCTCCCGCCAACACTCAACCCTCTACCGCAACCACCGTCACTCCAGCTGACTGGTGGGTCTACCAGATCCCTGGTGTGGTGTGCTGGGTGGTTGTTCATGTTTGAAATCGAGCCGCCAATGGGTCGGCGAAACTTGCGAGTGTGAGTGGCTGGGGTTACGATGGTACAGTAGCTTCCGTGAGGCTACATTAATTCAGTAGATTGCGAAGTAGGGAAAAGTGACGTTTTTGCCTTCGGACAGTCTGAAGGTTCGAAATTTCGAAACGGACTGTCCGGTACCCGCTATTGGGACCGTCCGTTTCGATACAGGTGGACAATCCGTGAAAAAAAAAAACAAAACAAAAAAGAGACACGCCCTTAGTGGATCTGTGTTTTGTAGATTAAAACCCGGAGCCTGAATTACAAAAAGTGTTTTGAGGTGTTAACACTTTCCCTCCCGAACCTGGGTGGTTACCAGGTGTCCAACAGGTAAACGTGAGGAAGTCGCAGGCAACACAAGGAAGGATCGCTTGGGTCTCTGGCAACGATTCTGGCTGTGGGTGTGCACACCAAGCAGAAAGTGTAATTCAGGTCGAGAGAAATGGCATAGTTCCTTGCCTACTTTTAGCCTGCACTACCGATTAGACCAGCATTTTTAGCCTGCACTAGCAGCAGTCTCAATGATAATCTTTGCCCGTTGTGACGCACTCGCGCCCGTCCTGTCCCATTAGGACTTCTCCCCTCCGTCGCCTATGCGAATCCCTTCCGTCGCGTAAACATGCTCACCTGCGTCGCCTACGCTCATCCCGCAAGTCGTGTAACCATATTCCCCTGCTTCGCCCTCGCTCATCCCGCAAGTCGAGTCGATAGTTGTTCCTCCCCTCCGAGGCCCACGCTTACTCCCCGCCCGTCGCCTTCGCTCCATCCCCTCCATCGCCCACGCCCACTCCCTCGCGTCGTCTTCGCTCATTCCCCTCCGTCGCCCATGCTCACTCCCTCCCGTCGCGTTCGCTCACTCTCCTTCCGCCCTCCACGCGCACTCCCTCCCGTCGCGTTCGCTCACTCCCCTTCCGCCACCAACGCGCACTCCCTCCCGCCGCGTTCGCTCACTCCCCTCCAGTCGCGACGGTCCCACGCTCTCTCCTCTCCGTCGCGCACGCTCACTCCCCTTCCGTCGCCCACGCTCAATCCCTCCCGTCGCCCACGCTCACTCCCTCCCATCGCCTTCGTCCAATCCTTCTCGTCGCCCACGCTCACTCCCTTCCCATCGCCCACACTCACTCCCTTCCCATCGCCCACGCTCACTCCCTTACCGTCGCCCACGCTCACTCCCTTCCCATCGTCTTCGCGCAATCCTTCCGTCGCCCACGCTCACTCCCTCCCGCCGCGTTCGCTCACTCCCCTCCCGTCGCGACGGTCCCTTCCGTCGCCCAGGCTCACTCCTTTCCCATCGCCTCTGGTCAATCCTCCCGTCGCCCACGCTCACTCCTTTCCCATCGCCTTCGCGCAATCCTTGCGTCGCACACGGCCAATTCCCTCCCGTCGCACACTGCCGCCCGCGCTCGCCTTTTTCATCTCCTCCCATTCTCCCAAATCATCTCCGCGCGTCCGCCCTTTTCGTATCCTCACCCCATCTCCTCCTCTCCCCGTCCCCTCCTCACTCCATCTCCTCCGCTCCCCGTCCCCTCCTCACTCCATCCCTCATCTCCCCATCCCTCACCTCCCCATCCCTCACCTCCCCCTCCCCCACCTCCCCATCCCTCACCTCCCCATCCCTCACCTCCCCATCCCTTTCCTCCCCATCTCTCCTCTCCCCATCCCTCCTCTTACCATCCCTCTTCTCCCTATCTCTCCACTCCCCATCCCTCCTCTCCCCATCCCTCCTCTTACCATCCCTCCTCTCCCCATCCCTCCTCTTACCATCCCTCCTTTCCCCATCCGAACCTCTCCCCATCCGGTCCTCTCCCCATCCGTCCTTCCCCCATCCCTCCTCTTACCATCCCTCCTCTCCCCATCCCTCCTCTCCCCATCCCTCCTCTTACCATCCCTCCTTTCCCCATCCGAACCTCTCCCCATCCGATCCTCTCCCCATCCGTCCTTCCCCCATCCCTCCTCTTACCATCCTTCCTCTCCCCATCCCTCCTCTTACCATCCCTCCTTCCCCCATCCGATCCCCTCCCCATCCGTCCTTCCCCCATCCGATCCCCTCCCCATCCGTCCTTCCCCCATCCGATCCTCTCCCCATCCGTCCTTCCCCCATCCGATCCCCTCCCCATCCGTCCTTCCCCCATCCGATTCCCTCCCCATCCGTCCTTCCCCCATCCGATCCCCTCCCCCTCTCCTCCAGGTGTTTCCCACACTGTCCTCGGCCTTGCGGCACCTCCGCATCCAGTGTGTTTAGCTGCACCGGGCATCTGCTTGAAGCTCTGTGGGCAGATGGTGGCGGGCAGAGTCGCCCAGCAGAGGCCTACGTGGTGCTGCGGGGGTCCCTTTCCCCCGTCCTTCCAACCTCTCTTCTTCCCTTCATCACTCCCTCTCTTCCTGCATTCCTCCCTTCCGCCCTCCCTCACATCCTTCGTTTTCTGGATGAACTCCCATCCTTTTTTCGTCCTTGCATCCATTCCTCTGTTCTTCCCTTCGTCCATCCTTCCCTTCCTCTGTTCCTCCCTTCATCCATCCATCCTTCCATCCGTCCCTCCCGTCGTCTGTTCCTCCCTTCCTCCCTACATCCCTTCCTGTTTGCTCCGCGCTTCACCTCCCCCTCTCCTCCCTCTCCCTCCGTTCCCCATCCTTCCATTCCCCATGCCTACTTCCGTCCAGAGTTTCCCTCAGTGGGAGGCTCCTTCTCAGCCACATGGCAGCTGAGGCAGACGTGGTGCTGCTGGAGTCCCTTCCACCCGTCCTCCCAACCTCTCCTCCTCCCTTCATCACTTCCTTCCTGCATTCCTCCCTTCTGCCATCCCTCACGTTCTTCATTTTCTGATGTTTTTTTTTCTCCCATCCTTTTTTCCTCCCTGCATCCCTTCATCTGTTCCTCCCTCCCTTCATCCATCCATCCTTCCCTTCCTGTGTTCCTCTCTTCCTCCCTACGTCCCTTCCTCCGCATCACCCTCCCTCTGTCCCTCCCTTCCCCTGGTCGTCCTTCTGTTTGTCTCCTACCGTAATAATAATCCAGGAGTTTCTCTTTATTTCTTCCTCTTCATGTTGCTTGCTTGTCAGTTATCATTATTTTGTATGCTGACCGGCTGCTTCAGCCACGAGCATCTGATTTTCACATTTGTGTTGTACAGGTCCCCCCCCTATGCATTTGGTTCAGGAATGCTGGTTGTTTGATAGTACCACTATGACACATAGGCATGCCAATGTTGTATGTTTATCTCAGAATGTGAAAGCAACGGAATAATGAACTAGAAACAGGATGGGGTACAAATATGCAAACCTAAAAGTTGTACCCCCTAGAAGGCACCTCACTACAGCCTACACCACATATTATATATTTGACACACACCCTTAGGCTAAGTGAGGGGCATCAAAGCAAGCAGGGTGAACAAACGGTCACAAGACCAGTCAAGACAAGAAGCAAGGCAAGCTCAGGGTGGATGTTAAAGACACCACACAAATTCCGAGCACAAAACAAGCGGCCACAAGGCCAGTTCAAGAGTTCACTAGGATATATAGAAAAGCAAAACAAGCAGAGCAAACAACAAGGCTACGGCAGCCGAGGGCCTACCTCAACAAGCCCCAGCTGCACACAGAACCTGTGGTGGTCACCAGGCGCCAAGGCTTTGGTGAAGACGTCGGCAGTGTTGGCCTTTGAGGCCACAAAGTCCAAGCGTGCCTGGCCGCGTCGCTGCAACTCTCGCAGGAGGAAGTACCTCACGTCAATATGCTTCACTCTGCTCTCCAGTCGAGGCGCTCGACACAGGAGGATCATGGCCTTGTTGTCAGCGTACAAGGTCGGTGCAGAGCGAGGCCGCTCACCAAGGTCGGCGAGCAAGAAGGTCAACCAGCGAAGCTCCTGTGCCGCCATGGCACCAGCGTAGATCTCTGCCTCTGCACTGGACGAAGCCACAGACGACGACCGTGTAGACATCCACGACACAGCACCAGCACCCAGACTGAAACAGTAACCCTGAGTCGAACGCTGAGTCTCCACGTCGTCAGCGTAGGAAGAGTCGCAGTGACCGGTCAACACAACTGGCTGTGTCCCTCCAAGCACAAGCCCCATGCCTGATGTAGTCGCCAGGAACTTTGCCACCCTCACAGCAGCTGTCCAGTGAACAGGACGGTGTCTCCCAGTCGCAACAAAGCGAGAGAGGACGTTGAGGGAAAAGGCGAGGTCCGGCCGAGTACAAGTCATCAAGTACATGAGGCAGCCCACAAGCTCTGCGTAGGGACCACTAGACTCAAAGGGCTCGTCGGGAAAAGGGCCAGTGAGTCGGTGGTCAACGGCAAGAGGAGTGGGCTGTGTGGTGGAGAACTGAAACCCGAACCGCTGAAGGACCTGCTGCACCATGTGTGACTGAGTCAGTGTGATGGTGCGAGCGGCTCTGTCCCTGGTGATCTGCAGGCCAAGGTAGCGCTGCAGTTCACCAAGGTCAGTGCACTTATGTCTCTTCTGCAGTTCGGACTTCACCTCAGCCAGAGCTGCTCTGTCTGCTGTAGCAAAGACCAAGTCGTCGACGTAAACCAGTATAAAGAAAGGAGTGGAACCAGCGCGAACAAACAGCAACGGGTCGGCAGAGGAAGGACGAAACCCAAGGTCACGAAGCGTGGAGCGAAGAGTGTCGTGCCACTCACGGGGCGACTGGCGGAGACCGTAGACTGGCCGCCTCAGGCTCCACTGGGTCCCAGGTGGGAAGGTGTCAGTGAAGCCAGGAGGACGGCACAGCCAGATCTCCTCGTGTAGTCGGCCCTGGAGAAACGCAGCGGAGAAGTCGAGGGAGTGCAACTCGTAGTCTCGCTGTGCTGCTACGTGCAGTAACACCCGAAGAGTAGTCATCTTCGGGGTCGGGGCGAAGGTCTGGAAGAAGTCAACTTCCTCGCGCTAACTGAAACCCCTAGCCACGTAGCGCGCCTTGAACACAGGCGGTGAACCAGGCGGCCGCTTCACCTTGAAGAGCCACATGCCATCGACAACGTTCGCCCTGAGAGGGGGAAATGCGTCGACGTAAGTGCCTGTGGATCTCCAAGACGCTAACTCCGCGTCCATAGCCGCTTTCCACTGAGAGGCCCACTCCCCTGACACTGCCTCACGGTACGTGCGAGGTGTCGGTATGTCAAGGGCGTCGGGGTCTCCCTCAAGGGAAAGCAGCATGGCGCAGAGAGAGGGGGAAGCGGCTGCTAAGAACTCCAGCTCAAACTGCCTGTCCTCTAGGACGTCACAGCCAAGGGCAGACTCACCCCCGACGGACAGAGGACGGGGAGGTGGAGCAGCCACCACACGCGTGGCGTAGTCAAGACGGCGGGTGGAAGCAAAGTCAGCGACATCGGCAGTAAGAGCCGAGACAGACGACGGAGAGGCACGAGGGTCGGTGACAAGAGAGGCGAGAACACGAGAGACAACAGGGCGAGCAGCACGGTAGTAGTCAGTGATAGGGTGAGAGGAAACGGTGAGAGACGACTCAGGAGGTGAGGGGAGAACAGACACAGGCAGAGAACGCCGAGGAGGAGAACTAAACAAGACAGTGCGGAGGTCGGCAAGAGGAGACGAGGGCCAAGCACGAGGAGGACAACGACTGGTCCAGTCATGCCGGACAACAGGAGGAGGCGACCGTAACTGAGGAGGAGAGAAAACAGCCGGAGTCGAGTCCGGAGGAGGAAACGGAGGACCGTACGCGGTAGGAGACTGTGAGTGTACAGGAGGAGAGGAAGGAAGACCAAGGGCCCGAAGGCCACTCACTGGAGGGAACTGCTGCTGCTGCTGCTGCTGCTGCTGGTCCAACTGCCGCAGCTCCTGCCTCTTCTGCTCCAACCGCTCCTGCTCCTCGCGCTCAAGTCGGCGAAGAGCCTGGTGACGTGTGTCGTAGCGGTGGGGAGGCGCAGTAGTCGTGCCTCCAGCTCCTGTCTCCTCAGTACTAGCTCCTACAGCGCCAGCACCTCCTGCTCCAGCACCCCCAGAACTAGCGCCACCAGCGCCAGCACCTCCAGCTCCAGCACCCCCAGAACTAGCACCTCCAGTGCTAGTACCTCCAGCTCCAGCACCCCCATAACTAGCACCTCCAGTGCCAGTACCTCCAGCTCCAGCACCCCCAGAGCTAGCGCCACCAGCGCCAGCACCTCTAGCTCCAGCACCTGACCGAGTACCGCCAGTGCCAGCACCTCCAGCTCCAACACCACCGGAGTCCACAGTAACCTGTCGCGGAAGTGCCGAAGGCTGCTGAGGGGACTGTGAGGAGGACTGCGGGGAGGGAGACGCTACTTGACGCACGACCGAGGGTAGAGGGGTAGCATGAGACACACCTGACGGGGCAGGACCGTGGGGGGGCGGGGCGTAGTCCTAAACCCTGGAGTAGTCGTCAACGACCACTAGAAAGTAGCGCTCCCTCTCAGGGCCCAGCGTAGGGGCAGGGCCCCTGCCCCAGACGTCCAAGTGGAGAGTCTGGAAGGGAGCAGTGGCTGGACGAAGGGAGGAGGATTGCGGTGTGGCGCGCAGGCGGCCGGCGATGCAAGGAGTGCAAGGTGGGGCAAGTGAGGGAGGGAGTGACAGAAAGACGCGCGGGAGACCTGAGACAAGACCGTGACTGGCTATGCTGCGGAGGCGGGGGAGCGATAGGTGGCCAAGGCGGTGGTGCCACAAGACAGTCAGGTGGGCGAGGGACCGACAGGAGCAAGACGCAGCTACCTGACCAGACACAGTAACCGGACTAGACACTGGGACCTGAGGGGACGCAGCAACCTGAGCGGAGGAAGCAACCGGGGAGCCCTCGGTGTGGAGAACGTAGAGACCAAAGCGGGGCTCCCTGGTGAACGTGGCCAAAACAGCACCTGTAGCAGCGTCTGTACAGACCGCAGTCCTCCCACCCCCCACAAAGGTAACGGTGATCCCCCTGTCCTGGAGGTATCCAACACCCACCAAGTTCCGAGTGAACGAGGGGATGCGGAGGCCGCGCAGGACATCAGAGGGGACCACAGGTTACGGGAGGGTGGTGGAGCTGCGCGCAACGGCTGGTCCTGAAGAAGGATCAGCCAGAGCTACCGGAACCGGAGCAAGGAGTGGTGTGAGGGTCGTGTGGTCGCGGAAGAAGCACTGCGATGCGCCAGAGTCCAGCGTGAAGGACAGGGACGCCTCAATCGGAGGCGTTGCAGGTCCGGAGGCGACACAAGCACCTAGAGCAGAAACACAAGCACCTAGACTAGAGAGGCGCAGGTCTACACTAACAGGAGGCAAGCATCCTAGACTACGAGCACGCAAGCACACAGATCCATCAGCACTATAGTCAACATCAGCATACAAAGCATACTGACGAGCATCGTCCATAGACAGTTCAAATACAGGAATCATACGTGCTAGCAGGCGAGCCCAGTGCGGGGTGGTCGCCTCAGGACCCCAGCGCGCTCGGTAGAGGTCGTCAAGGCGACGGAAGCACCGCATCGCCGAGTGGTCGTCGCAGCCGCAGACATAGGGACTGCCCAGTCCGGTGACGCACCAGTGGTCGCAGGGGCCGGTGTCGCGCCGCGGGGGGCGAGGGGCCCAGCTGGTAGTGCTGCTGCTGCGGCCAGTGCTCCCGGGACCTCCAGGTCCCCACTGTGGCGGAGGGCCCCAGTGCTGCTGCGGACCCCACTGCAGTGGGGGTCCCCACGACTGAAACTGTTGTGGTGCCTGCCACTGCTGCTGTCCCTGCTGCTGCTGCTGTCTCTGCTGTGGCTACTGCTGCTGTGGCTGCTGCTGCTGTGGCCCCACACCACCGCTGGTCGAACCTCCTCCAGCTGATGGGTCAGTACCTCCTCCAGGGCCCCCTACGCCTGGTGCACCACCGCCACCGCCACCACTGCCGCCCCCAGTGCCTCCGCCACCACCGCCACCTCCTCCACCGCCGCCACCCCCCTTCCCTCCTTTCTTGCCTCCCTTGCCTCGTTTCATCCTGTCAGCGGCAGAAACAGCTGCAGTGTACTCAGAGATCGACACAGCAGCAGAGGCACGAGTAGCAGTGAAGGTGGGAAG